GACAGAAGAAGAGAGTGGGGTTTTTGGTGTATCGTTATTTGAGGCTGAAGAGGTGGAAGAAGAGGAAGAAGGTGAAGACGTAGTGGTAGTAATAGGCGATGTTGGTGATGATGGCGTAGAAGATGATGCGATCGTAGTTTCTTTATTATTATCATTAGCAGTAGCAGTAGCAGCTTGTTTAGTATTATTGTTATTATTATTATTTTGTTGTTCATTTTTTTCAACTTCCATGGAAAAGAAAGGTTCTTCATCTTGTGCAAAAGGACTAAATGGATCAGGCGTAAATGAACGAACTCTGTTATTATTGGTATTATTAGCACTGTTAAGATTACTAATAGCTGGATTGGTAGCAGTAGTAATATTATTACTATTTTTAATATTGTCAACAGTATTGGTGATAAGACCATCAACACCACCACTGTCACCATTAATAATACTATCATCATTAGTGACGTTGGCATTAATACTAATTGGTCTGCTTATTACACGAAAATCGCTAAACAATGATGATGAGTTTGTGCTTGTCGAATGATTTTCATGTGGTGAAGGGATGTTGATAGGACTGCTAAAATTCATAAAACCATTTGCTGATGACGATGATGACGGAGAGGGTAATTGATGATAATGGGGGTGTTGTTGCTGTTGTTGTTGTAATTGTAATTGCTGCATCTGTTGCAGTTGCAGCTGTTGTTGATGATAAGGGCTTAAAGGACTTAAAGGTTGACGATCACTCCATTCATTAATATTATTATTAATGTTAATGTTATTAATGCTATTAGGTAAACGTTGAATATCATCATGAGTTATCGAAGCAGAAGAATAATTAGAAGAAGCTGGACCATCAACAAAGCCGTATGGTAAAGAACGTACAGTTGAATGATGAATATGTGATGGGTCCACTGCGTGATGAGAGTTGTAAGCATATTGAACGTCAGAAGGATGTAAAGAAGAAGAATTCGAGAACAATCTTCTAGAACTAATTATTTCCAAAGTTTCTTCCTGTCTACTACGTCTTCGTTTACGTTCATCTGGGGTTAGTAAATCGTTTAGCGAGGAAGGGATGAATTCTTCGTAATCAACATCATCAATTAATGGTGACGATTCTTGAAGATGATGATAAGAAGAAGAATGATGATGTTGATGTTGTTGTTGATGTTGTTGATGTTGTTGTTGTTGTTGTTGATGTTGTTGTTGTTGTTGTTGTTGTTGTTGTTGTTGATAATTGGTCATAAGTTGTAGTTGTTGTTGTTGACGAATATTTTGAGAAAGGGAAGTATTATTATTATTATTGTGGTCAAGATAACTGCTAGTGAAACTATTATTATTATGAACATGACGATCTTCTGGAATACTGTGAAGTTGTTGGAAAGAAGAAGAAGTTGGCGAAAGTATGCCACTTTCAGAGTAAGAGGAGAAGGGTAAAAAGGATCCTTTTGTTCTAACATTAGATTGGTAGGGTGAGGTGCTAAATGGATCTAGATGACTTGGTTGCGAAATATCAGGCAAAGATCTACGTTGTTGAAAATTAATATTAATCGGAGCACTTAAATGGTTATTGTCATTGCCATTACCACTGTTAAAGCCAATAAATGTTGGTGAAGTGGTCCTTAATGATCTAGAGGAAGGTGAGTAGTTATCATCCGAGTACAATGGAGGGGCAGAAGATGGATTCAAAGATGCGGTTAATTGGCTATGAGATCTATGACTATTTTGATATTCAGTTGGACTTAATGGCATACGAGAGAACGGAACCATTCCAGGTGAATTGGATGATGAAAAATCGTTTAATTCTTGTTGATTATTATTACCGTAACCTTGAGATACAGGTGATCTAATAATCTCAGGAATATTATTAATTCTTAATCCATTAATATTTTTACCATTATTATTAGGGTTATTGTTAATTTGTTTGGTAGAAGTTTTTAATGGTTGATTGTGAGACAGAGCACATTTATTGCCAAATTTACAATTCCCCTTTAAATAAAATTTGCAGACATAGTTATCAGCTGGAGGATCTTTACTATGCAAAAATTGACAATTTTTTCCAGCAGTACATGCACTACTTTTAAAGAATTTACAAGGAATATGAGCCAAGTTACTATTGCCTTTTTTTTTAAAAAAAAAAAAAAGAAAATTAATTAAATAATTGATGATATCACAGGAAAAAATTAAATAAATCACAGATCAAAAAAAATGACATACTTTTTGAATTATTATTATTATTATTGTTATTATTATTATTATTATTATTATTGATGGAATTATTAATGTTGTTGTTTGAATTTGTTCTTACTCTTCTAGGAGGTTGATTTGACAAAAGTGAGGGTGGCGGAGGAGGAACACTGTTAGTTGGAGTAACAGGAGCAGAGATTGCTTGAGAGATGGGACTATCATTGCCACCATTATTATTGTTGTTGTTGTTGTTATTTACAGAGTCAGGTTGAAACGATGAAAAAGAATCAGCGGATGAGGTAGGACTATGATGAGTGGAAGGAGAAGTTACTATTGAGGGTACATGAAGAAAATTATTATCTATTGGTTGTTTGCTATAATATTGAAATTGTGAAAGGATCGGAGGATTTGGTAAAGAGCTAGCATGCATGATTGAAAAATAACTTTTTGATGAGTTTTTTCTAATATTTCTTTGACATATATATTTTCTAAATAGTTAATTTTACTAATTAAATTATAAATTTTTTTCTAATTGATAAAATTTTTGTTGGTTGATTTTTTTTGTAGTCGTAACCGTTATATTTTATATAATATTTTTGAGTTTAAAAAATTTATTGCGATGACAACTTGTTACTAAAAAATTAGTAAAAAAAGAATATATCGTCATCACTATGGATTATAATCACGGTCAATTGAATTGATAATCATATCTTTCCACTTCGAAACTTCCTGACTCTAAAAGTTCGTTTATTCTAATAATTACAGCGTGAGCAATATATGGGAACCCTGCTTGTCGGTGTGTCATTTAGCAAAAAGAAACGAAAGAAATTCGATATTAAAGGATTCAAAACACAAAGAGATTAAATTTAAACAGGAAATCTGTGTATATATGCACACAATCGGCCAATTCTTCAGACTTTTGGAATATGAAGATTGTGTTTTTATTATCGATATCTGTTCCGCCATTAATAGTGATGTGACTTATGACACTGCCTCTGCGATGTTATTTCATCCTTTGTTTGCAGTGCTAAAAACCGAATCGTTCTGCTGTATGATTAGGGCAGGACCATCAGTCTTCTTCATTTTAAGAGCCTCGAGAACCAGATCAACTGTCTTCATTTTGTAAAATTGTTGTAAACTAATCTAAACATATACATTGGCGATGGTGGTGGTGATTAGCCTTCAAACGTTTATACACACACGTATGAAAATATTAGTCACCATCATAGTTTTTGAAAGTTTTGGAAAGAAAAAAAAATGATTGATTCACCAGATTTATGCATTTGCATAATTCGTAATTTGATTTGGTATAGTCACACCACTTATTATACGGGGTAAGATTTCAGGGATCAATATTTAGTCATTTGTAATGTGATCATAATTAACAGTTTTTATAATATCCCATTTGTTATCTTAAGTGATATATAGAACTATCCCTACACCAAAATAATAATATGAAGTTGATTTATATCAGATCTATTACAATGGAACCCAAGAATTATAGTACTATCAGAAGTATTCTAAAGAGGAACAAGGGAAAAGATTGCTCCTTAGATTTTCAAAATAAATGATACTTGAAGCTTATCTAAGAAAAGAAAATATTACCTATGAAATTTACCAAGAAGAAAGAAAAATAATAAATGTTGGAAAAAGAAAGTATCATAGATGATTAATTTTTTCTTCTAAACTCTTTATCTTATCTAATAGCCCCTATTTTTGCTTTTTACTTCACTCTTCTGATTTTTCCTGAAATTTGGCTACTTCTTCTCTTTCAATTTTTAATTCTTCTTTGGTAATTGATAACTCTTTTTCTAGTTCTCTAGTTTTATTTTCTAGGCGAAAGCTGAAAGCTTGTGAAAGTAGTTCTTTGTCAGAAAGTGGTTTAGTTGATTTAACTTTTAAATGACTACAAAAACATCTGTTTCTATTCCTTTTTAACCTAGTATGTCCCACATAATATTTTTGTAAAAGATCTTCAAGCCAATAAATAAAATTTGATTTTTTTAGAGAGTGATCATCATAAAATTTAGCCAATGAAATCAAAGTCACAACGTGATAACGAATGTCCATTGTGCTGATAATAATAAATCGAACTTCCTTCCATCATGCTACTATATACTGTATTACTAATATTTAAACAATGATAAATAATTTGCCAAACGAATTACTTTACACAATTTTGCAAAATGTTCAAAATACTTATGCATTATATGAGTAAGTAAATAAATATTAAATCATTTAAATAATAAAATATTTATTAATGTACAATTAATTATTTTAATTTTAAATTTAGTCGTCACCGATATTTATGGACGCTTTGTAGAACTTGTAAATTATGGAATGAAATAATTCCTTTAGTTATTAGTGGGTGTGCTTTTAAAAGATTTAATTATTTCAAAGATTTGGAATTCGAGGTAACTTCCATCTCTCATTGATTGGTTTTCTTCTAGGCATATATATACATATGTATATATATTAATAACATGTGTGATATAATAGGCAAGAATTGATTTTGGAACTTATGATAAAAAAAAATATTTTAAAACAACATTGATAAAATTTTCAAGAATATGTAAATTTAATTTTTTTCCATCAACTGAATCAAATGGATCATTTTTATCACCTACATCAGAAGAAGAAGGATCAGAAAGATCAGAAGAAGAAGGATTGATAATAATAAATAATTGTAGGATTAATTTGGGGATAGCTGTTAAATATAAAGATAATCCACCAAGTGGTTGGAAATTTAAATATTATATACCAACTATTTTATTACCTGGCGAGAATCCAAACAACATCAAAGAGATTAAATGTCATTCGAATATAATTATCGGCTATAGATTCAATATCAACAAAGAGAGAAATAATGATGAGAAGGGGAAACAAGTTTTTAAAAATAATTCAACTAACGATTATACCAATAATCCACAAGACATTGAATTATTGTATATCAATATGTCAAGAGATGCATTATTAAGGTATATGGATAATATGGATAACCTTAATTACTTGATTTCTGCCACTGGAATTAATTAGATTAGAATTTACAAAAAATTCGTTGTGATCGACAAAAGGTTCTTTTGCCAAGCCACCATCAAAGCCTCGAAGGATAAAAGATAATTAATCTAATTTAAGAAAGAAGCCACTGTTCGTCAATTTTTATTACAATTAAAAAATTTTTTACAAAAAGAATCGAAATATAAAAGATGTATTTGCATAATTAATCTAAGAAAGAAGCTACTGTTCGTTAATCATTGGTATCATTATCTTTTTTAATAATAAACAATTTCTTACATAGCCACACAATAGATTTTTTTTAAAAAAAAAAATATTCTTATTTTTTTAAGTTTGCTTCAAATCAGTCACGTTTATTTAATCCAATTCCTTTATTTTTTAATATATGAATGAATGGAAATATTTACTAGTAAAACATGCCCTCACTTAATCAAAACTTTGGATCCTTTAAGATATTCATTTGTTGATTCTCAAGGAAATGCTCATTTACCATGTGAGGATTCTTTTCGAGAAACAAATAAATAAATCGATCGACTAATTGATTGAATTTATCCTTTAGTGTATACAATAGGATGGATTGTTTCGTCGACATTTACACTTTTAGCGTGTGTTTTTACGTTTACGTTATTATTTCAACACGCAAGAAATTATGCAAAGGCATGTATTTATTATATTTATATATAAAACGTAATTACTTTATATATATACACCTTCTAAATTATAAAAATATATCAATCAATATACGCATAATATTTGTACCCATTTTCCTGATGGTAATTAATTGAGAACTACTTTGATAATTAATAGCAGATCTCCTGTGGCCTACATAGTAAATGAATTGTTTAGGAGTTATATGTGAAAAATCTGATAACCTTGGTCATTAAATGAACAAAATAAATTGTTTCATAAATGAAGCCAAATTCATGTTGAGATATAAGAAAGTATATCTGTATTTTCTACTGGATCACTTACAAAGCCATGCATTGTTGAAACTTTTTATATATGGCAATAATTTCAGCCAAATAAATTCTTCTATTGATTATAACAAAACAAAACCCTTCAGGAGTTGCTAATGAATATTTGGCAGTGCTAATTCCTGGTACTGTTAAAAAAATTTTTTTTAGAATTTTATTTTGCAAAAAACTTAAATTTGTAGTAAAACTTACATTTAATTGATGATTGAATATCTTAACAGTTGTTCATTAAAAATTGTATTTAATTTTTCAAACCTTTTTCTCATCTGCCAATTTGACCTTTGAATATTTGTTACATTAGTTGGTGTTGAAGGATTTGGTGTTGTGCTTGTTCTCCAACTAAGAAACCTCTTAGTGGCTGTTTCTTGAAGCAAGCTGTCTATTGTTTCCCCAAGTAGAATTTGCATGGGCTGCCCGACTACTTATTGTGTTTTTGAAATTGTGTTGAGTTGTCTGACCTTGTATATTACCATTATTTATAGATTTTCTATCCAAATTTGATGAAACAAATGCCTCATGTTTTCTACGCCTATCTATTAAATTTAAAAAAATAATGCCATTACTATCAACAATATGTTGTATAATAATATAATTGTCATGTTCATTAATTCTTGAATCTGATGATTCGTCTCCATTGAGGTATTTCTATAATTAGATTCATTGTCATCAGGAATATCATCCATCAAGTCAAAATTAACTGCCATTTCATTGACAACCTCCTCAAGAGAAATGTTTAGGCAATTAATTCTTGATTAACTTCAGGTAATATTTCATAACTATCATATCTATTGATTGGATTTTCTATTTTATATACCATTTCAATTAAATCAACATATTTAAAAAGAGTAACTGCTTCTTTGTAAGAATCACCAAAAGCAATTGAAGCTTATCTAAGGAAAGAAAAGATTACTTATGAAATTTACCAAGAAGAAAGAAAAATAATAAATGTTGGAAAAAGGAAGCATCATGATGATGCATTATTACCTAATAAAAAGCAAAAATCTCTAAAAGGAAAATAACTACCACTAAAGCTCCTAATAGGATCGGGTCAATCTGAAATTTTTCAGTTCGGGTTCAGGTTGTCCATAAAAATTTTGGTTTGAGTTCAGGTTGACACTTAACCTGCTCGAAATCAGTCTGTTAGGAGCTTTAACTACCACTTTCTTTATAGTTGAAATGAATTTCAATTTATACAGAATTTCTTTAAACTACTTTTTTATTTTCAATCAAGGTCATCTTTAGTCTCTTTAACTTCAATTTGAGCAGTTAATTGACCATTCTGTTGATCTTTTAATTTCCTGTTTTCCTCTTCTAGTTGTTTAATTCTTTCTTCTAAACCCTTTACCTTATCTAATAATTCCTGTTTTTGCTTTTTACTTCACTCTTCAGATTTTTCCTGAAACTTGGCTATTTCTTCTCTTTCAATTTTTAATTCTTCTTTGGTAATTGATAACTCTTTTCTAGTTCTCTAGCTTTATTTTCTAGGCGAAAACTGAAAGCTTGTGAAAGTAGTTCTTTGTCAGAAAGTGGTTTAGTTGATTTAACTTTTAAATGACTACAAAAACATCTGTTTCTATTCCTTTTTAACCTAGTATGTCCCACATAATATTTTTGTAAAAGATCTTCAAGCCAATAAATAAAATTTGATTTTTTTAGAGAGTGATCATCATAAAATTTAGCCAATGAAATCAAAGTCACAACGTGATAACGAATGTCCATTGTGCTGATAATAATAAATCGAACTTCCTTCCATCATGCTACTATATACTGTATTACTAATATTTAAACAATGATAAATAATTTGCCAAACGAATTACTTTACACAATTTTGCAAAATGTTCAAAATACTTATGCATTATATGAGTAAGTAAATAAATATTAAATCATTTAAATAATAAAATATTTATTAATGTACAATTAATTATTTTAATTTTAAATTTAGTCGTCACCGATATTTATGGACGCTTTGTAGAACTTGTAAATTATGGAATGAAATAATTCCTTTAGTTATTAGTGGGTGTGCTTTTAAAAGATTTAATTATTTCAAAGATTTGGAATTCGAGGTAACTTCCATCTCTCATTGATTGGTTTTCTTCTAGGCATATATATACATATGTATATATATTAATAACAAAATCAAAGTCACAACGTGATAACGAATGTCCATTGTGCTGATAATAATAAATCGAACTTCCTTCCATCATGCTACTATATACTGTATTACTAATATTTAAACAATGATAAATAATTTGCCAAACGAATTACTTTACACAATTTTGCAAAATGTTCAAAATACTTATGCATTATATGAGTAAGTAAATAAATATTAAATCATTTAAATAATAAAATATTTATTAATGTACAATTAATTATTTTAATTTTAAATTTAGTCGTCACCGATATTTATGGACGCTTTGTAGAACTTGTAAATTATGGAATGAAATAATTCCTTTAGTTATTAGTGGGTGTGCTTTTAAAAGATTTAATTATTTCAAAGATTTGGAATTCGAGGTAACTTCCATCTCTCATTGATTGGTTTTCTTCTAGGCATATATATACATATGTATATATATTAATAACATGTGTGATATAATAGGCAAGAATTGATTTTGGAACTTATGATAAAAAAAAATATTTTAAAACAACATTGATAAAATTTTCAAGAATATGTAAATTTAATTTTTTTCCATCAACTGAATCAAATGGATCATTTTTATCACCTACATCAGAAGAAGAAGGATCAGAAAGATCAGAAGAAGAAGGATTGATAATAATAAATAATTGTAGGATTAATTTGGGGATAGCTGTTAAATATAAAGATAATCCACCAAGTGGTTGGAAATTTAAATATTATATACCAACTATTTTATTACCTGGCGAGAATCCAAACAACATCAAAGAGATTAAATGTCATTCGAATATAATTATCGGCTATAGATTCAATATCAACAAAGAGAGAAATAATGATGAGAAGGGGAAACAAGTTTTTAAAAATAATTCAACTAACGATTATACCAATAATCCACAAGACATTGAATTATTGTATATCAATATGTCAAGAGATGCATTATTAAGGTATATGGATAATATGGATAACCTTAATTACTTGATTTCTGCCACTGGAATTAATTAGATTAGAATTTACAAAAAATTCGTTGTGATCGACAAAAGGTTCTTTTGCCAAGCCACCATCAAAGCCTCGAAGGATAAAAGATAATTAATCTAATTTAAGAAAGAAGCCACTGTTCGTCAATTTTTATTACAATTAAAAAATTTTTTACAAAAAGAATCGAAATATAAAAGATGTATTTGCATAATTAATCTAAGAAAGAAGCTACTGTTCGTTAATCATTGGTATCATTATCTTTTTTAATAATAAACAATTTCTTACATAGCCACACAATAGATTTTTTTTAAAAAAAAAAATATTCTTATTTTTTTAAGTTTGCTTCAAATCAGTCACGTTTATTTAATCCAATTCCTTTATTTTTTAATATATGAATGAATGGAAATATTTACTAGTAAAACATGCCCTCACTTAATCAAAACTTTGGATCCTTTAAGATATTCATTTGTTGATTCTCAAGGAAATGCTCATTTACCATGTGAGGATTCTTTTCGAGAAACAAATAAATAAATCGATCGACTAATTGATTGAATTTATCCTTTAGTGTATACAATAGGATGGATTGTTTCGTCGACATTTACACTTTTAGCGTGTGTTTTTACGTTTACGTTATTATTTCAACACGCAAGAAATTATGCAAAGGCATGTATTTATTATATTTATATATAAAACGTAATTACTTTATATATATACACCTTCTAAATTATAAAAATATATCAATCATGTGTAATATAGCCAGAACAACAAAGATTGGTGATAAGATTATTATTTATGGTTCCGGTTTATACAATATCAGATTTATTAGCATACTTCTTTATTCATAAATCAGTTTATTTTGCCTTTTTCCGTGATACATATCAAGCATGGTGTATTGCTTCATTTTTTAATTTATTATTAGAATATTTGGGTGATGATGGAGATTATAGAATTACCCAAATAGGAACAACAAAAATGCCTCCACCACTTTGTTGTATTAGATTCAATCCCTCTAAACATAAATCATTCTTCCTACCCAGTTTAAAATTAGCCGTGTTACAATACGCATTGATATTATATTTAACAACTTTTATCTCGGTGGTGTTGCAATTAATTGGGGTTTATTGTAAAGAAAATTATTCTATTTACTTTCCTCAACTTCATTTAGTAATTATACAAACAATATCTTCTCTAATCGCAAATCTAAGTTTGGTAAGGAATTCGAGTATTTGGATTGTGTGATTATTATTATCAATTAATTAATAAATAAATAAATTAATTAATTACAGTTGATGTTATTTGAATCTATTCGTAAAGAATTAATAGGATATCAATTAGGATTAAAAGATCTGTGCATAAATTGGGTAATTTAATTACTAGGAGACGATAATTATTTTGTTAACAACAATTAAAACGATTAATGATTTTTTTTAAATTCTTCAGGCACTTTTCATTGTTACATATCAAGGTACGATGATCTTCAAAAAAAAATATCCCCCCCTGTTGCAATTTAATGTTAAAGTAATTATAGTAAATGAACCATACATTGATAAAGCCTTCGATAATAAATAGGTCATATTCTTGCTCTAGCAGTTAATCTACGTAAGTGTTTGTTGTTTTCACATAACTTTATATCGTATCTATTTTCGTTATCTAATTTTTATGATTTTTTAGACTTTTTTGCGAACACGAAATATTTGTAAGTGAAAAAAAAAGTAATATATATATATATATGATTTGTAAAAAAGAACGTTTATACACACATTCAACTTTTTTAAAAAATTAACAGAACCGCAGACGATATATCAACGGCAATTCAATCAGTTTTAGTATCGATTGAATTTTTCTTTTTATCTCTATTACACATGAAAGCATTCAGTGTAAAGGAATATCGAGAATTAGGAGAAAGGATTTCAACTCCCGTTTTTTCATCTTTAAGAGATGCTTTAAATATACGGGATGCAGTGTTTGATTTTATTCATCTCTTAAAATTCATATTTCTCTATGCTGTCCTAAGAAGACCTGAACCCGAAAAAAGAGAAGATCCACAAAGAACTGCTGTCTCATTAAAGCCTTTGGCTGATATTATATCGAAAGAAGTTAGTAGTGATATTGGTAGCAGAAGTAGAAGTGAAAAAGATTATCTCAAAAAAGCTTCAAGCTTAAGTAGATCTACAACTAATACAAAAAAATTGAGAGGAAGTCTCAGATCCAAGCATTTACGACCTTCACCATTGGCATCAGATACTGATGATAATAAAAAAGAAAGTAGTGATGGTGGTGGTGGTGGTGGTGAAAGTAGTAGTGCTAAAGTCAATGTTGAGGAAAAGGGAAAAGATGATAGTGACGATGATGAAAGTAAGAAACACGAGAATAGCGGTGGTGACATTTAAATAAAATAGTTTTCGTATTAATAAAATATATATTTTTTATATTATTGTAAAATAATTGGTACAATTTAATATCATCCATCTTGTTATTATGCATAATAATGTAATAAATAAATATGCATTATGTTGAAATTATAGTGTAACATATATGATAGCATGGTTTGCTTGATTGGGAAATTCGATAAATATACGTTAACTATATTTATCATATTAATTAATATCCCCCTAATCCTTTAAATTTTTATTAAAAATAATTTAATTTCCACTCTCTTTTTTTTATTTTATGATGGAAGATGAAATTACAGTTGAAACTATTAACAAAATCAATCCAGTGTCATCAACTAGCATTGAAGATTCTATAAAAAAAATAATAAGAATAATCAAAGAAGATGATATGGTATCATATGTCTTGATCTTTTTTTTGATATCTTTTTTAAATTATAGTTGTTATAATTACGATTACGAATTATAATTTATTTAGCCAGCTGAAAAACTAAATGTTAAAAAGAAAAATTCAACATATTCATCAGAAAATCGTGTATATGAAGTATTGTACGAGAATCAAAGAGGGTGGGTAATTAATTTCAAAAACAGGAATAATAAATAACAACAATTTATCTTAAATATAATAATTAATTTATTACGGCTATTATTTTATTATAGATTATTTTTTTTCGGATTACCAAAATTTAATTCGAAAGCATTAAATCAAATGGATCCATCTCCATGGACAGATAAACATAACAAGTAATAAATAATACTAATTTATATGATAGTAATATTAATATTATAAGAAAGCAAATAAATAAATTAATATATATTTATTTTTATTTTATTATTTATATTAAAGATATTCACCAATGGATATTTATACATTTCAATTGCCGGATCCAACTTGGGAATGGGTGGGTTGTAAGTGATGTGTTGGAGAGAAATTGATTTAGAAGATATTGTTGACAAAGTTTATTTAAATTTATTTTTCAAATTTTAGGTTAATAAAGAATGGTTGATTGATATGTCTGGTGATGTTGACCAAGGTAAATTGTTGATTGATTGATAATAATATTTGTGCATGTTTGGAATTTTAATCTTAAATCCGATTTCCTTACAATGTATTATTTTTATATTATAGAAGGATGGGAGTATTCCATAGCATTTAATTTTAATCGTTGGCATGGTAAAATTTTATATTTTATTTAATTTAATAATAATAATTTTAAATAATAAATTGATAAATAATAAATTATAGGATGTTATAAATCTTTACGATCCTTTGTTCGTAGAAGAAGATGGATAAGATTACGCCGTAAAAAGGCAAGCATTTAACATATAAAATAGACACCCATGTGCTTATTCATATCCATATTCACATATCAATAATAACAGCTATATTATAATGTATAGGTTATAACTGATAGTGATAGTGATAGTGATAAAAAGTATTTATCAAAAATCAGTACAGATAAGGATGAGTCAAAGACAAAATCCGAAATTGAAAAAATTTGGTATAAAGTAAAAGGCTCCAAATTAGACAGGGAGAAATTAAATGTGATTGACGAGTATATAAAAAATGGGGGTGAGATAAATTACTTTAGCGGGAAGGTAAAAATAAAATAAAATTTATGATAATAATAATAATAATAATAAAAAATAATTATAATAATAATGGTTATCATTATTTAGATAGAAGATTTTATCTCTCTATTTGACCATCATGAAAGTAAGAAATTATTATTAGAGGTAATTATCAATAAAAAATTTATTTATTTATTAATTTTATTTATTCTTACTTTTTTGCCTTCCTTGAAATTCATAGATTTTATTAAAAACTGGAAATCCAAAAATTATTAAAGAATTAAGGCAAAAAAAATTCCTAAAATTTTATTCTGATCTCAAAACATTATTATTAAATTAATTTCAAGTTGTACTATAAAAATTTCTTCTTGAAGCAATTATATAATTGCACAACAATAATATAAATGACGGACGATACTAAAATAATTTATTCAATATCAATAATATATATATGTATTTACTTTTTCTTCTAATATCAACTTTTAAAACTAAATAAACCAGCATCCTAGAAATAATAATCCATAAGTTTTTGCATGATTGCTTGTATCATCATCATGAATTGATTTTACACATACAGTGCCCTGCCGAAAATGAATGGCCACCTAAAAAATTCTTTGATTGTAAATACAAACTAGTACACAACATGATTTCTTGTACAAAGTGACCACTTTTGAAAGTTTTATTAATGTCAAGTTTTCTTTGAAATTCAGAATTTCGTTCTATGATTTCAAACCAATCCATACTTGTTATACATATGCAGTTTAACAAAAACAGATCCACTCAGTACAAGAAATCATGTTGTGTATGTAAAATTATTATTACTATTAACAGAATTTTAGATGGCCACTCATTTCTGACAAGGTACTAAAATATTTGTATCAAAGGGGAAACTAGGGCCTGCAGTTTAGGGACCTCGCGTTTAGGGGGTTCTTTATTCTTATTCCCAGCTGAAACCCGAGTAGAATGAATATTAGATTATTCTTCTCTAGTAGAATAGAACGTAGAAGCTCGACTTTCTCCGGAGTGAAGGAATCGGTGCACAATTTTACCATGCCATCACGTTTATCGTAGCCACAATCGCCGCATAGCCAATAAGCAAAGGCGATGTCATAAATTTCTTTCTTTTACATCAACGTTAACATATTTATAATTGGTTGTTTTTTGTTAATTAGCTTTGGATCCAAATAATAACCTCAAACCCTGTATTTGTAGTACAAATATGATAAATATTAATATTAATGAAACGGGTGCAAAATAATGTTAAACCATTTAAAAAAAAATAATACTAACCTCTTACATTGAACCTATACTAAGTACAAGTCCTACATAGACAGCCTACAATAAGGTGTCTCGGGTGTAAGCCCCAACGTCGTGAACGACTATTGTTGTTTTTCTGTAATATACTTCAAAAGTATATTTCGAGCTCCGTTTACATCTCTATTAATGGTGGATTTGCAAGATGTACAATTAAAGATCTTTGAACCGCCCAAATTTGACTTGACGTCTCCACAACATCCACATGTTTTGCTGGTGTATTCTTCAGTGCAGATGATGACCTTGAACCAAGGGTACTCGCAGGATTTGTGGAGCAAACGTTGGCGAAAACGGTAATGTGACCAGGTCAACATTTGTCTTGCTGTTTTAGAGTGGATTTTTCTAGAACCGCATTTTTCAACCATATCTTGTGTTTTAAACTCAGGGAGCAAAACTATATGGTGGTTTCCACACAACCATCTTGCTAATCTTTTATGACATTCATCCACAAAATTACGGATTTTCTTGTGGATCCGGAGCATGCACCGACGGAACTTATTATCTTTTACGTTTATTTGTTTTGCCATGAATAGAATCCTTTTCACCTTGGATTCTATCATAATGCAAACACAAGCGATGTATTCTACTAATATCCCCTTTTCCCCATTCTATAACCTCACCGCTTGGGTTATAGCCAGTCATGAAGGTTCTCACTCCTGGATCAAGAGAAATGATGCCGGCGCCTTTATTCTCTTCAGCCACCGAAAATTTAGGACCTTGGTTATCAGCCTTAATTTCAAGTAGTTTGGGGATACACAAGTAGAATTCACCAAGACGATTCATAGTGAGACGAAGTTTGTAATTTATTTCGGATATTTTTTCGCTTGTTTTAATACCCCCAAGAACCACGATTTCTTCTCCAGTCCCTTGATGCATTGCGATTTATCTTTTTTAGATCTGAATTTCAATTTAAAGTTTTTTCTTTTTAAAGCGACATTAGACTTATAATTTTTTAAAAGGTCCATCATTGCTGCATCCCTAATGTCATGAGGTGTGTCAAGAACCCACTTAAGACTAATGTCTTTAAATTTTTCAGCTTTATTATTGATATAATTTTCACGTAAATACTTTTTGTACGTCCAGCGCGCAGTACCAATCCATTTTAATACACAGTGAGTCTCGGTATAGCGGATAATTTGGGCAATTAGAACAAAAATTTCAAAAATCCATTATACCGAGATTAATTCAAGATTTAATTAGTAAATCCGTTAAACCGAGAGAATTTACTTATAGACGGTTCTGAGCTTTGATCCGTTAAACCGAGAGTTTTATTAGACATCCGCTATACCGAAGTCCGTTATACCGAGACTTACTGTGTAGTTTGTTTTTTTCCTCCGAATTAGGGTAAAGTCTAATTTTATGAGTTTTCCCTGCTGGAGGTTTTTTGGAGGAGGAGGCTGAAGATGAAGGAATAGTATCAGCATCAAAAGAAGATGGCGAAGTTAAATTTTCTTTGGAAGAAATCGCGTCTTTGAAATTATTCCATATTCCATTTGGTAAAAGGGAATGATTATTTAAATCTACAGGTGTTGGTTTAATCGAGTCAACTGTAACCCATGAACCAAGGGCTAGTCTTTTTAAAGAGTCACCCCATTGACTTGAGCACAATACTTCACTATTAGTCTTTAGGGGTAACCAACACCAATTTGTGAGTTTTTGAGTGAATTCACCCCAGAATGGCTTATATTATTTTACATTTGAAGAAGTTGCTTGTGATAGTGAGTCAGGAGTTTGCATAAAAGTTTTAATAAAAATTTATATTTTTTTAAAAATTGAATATAATTGTGAAAGAGTAAACACTATTTTTCAAAAAAAGTTTTTTGACTTTGAAAAAGATAAATTTTTTTAATATTTATAAAAATATTTTCTGACTGTAATTAATCATGAAAACAATCAAAAAATTATTTTCCAACTGTATGTATGTGAAATTAATCATGAAATCAATCAATTATGTTTAAAAATATTTTCTGACTGTAATTAATCATGAAAACAATCAAAAAATTATTTTCCAACTGTATGTTTGTGAAATTAATCATGAAATCAATCAATTATGTTTGAAAATATTTTCTGACTGTAATTAATCATGAAAACAATCAAAAAATTATTTTCCAACTGTGTGTATGTGAAATTAATCATGATCAATGATGATAATATTTATACAACGCAACCATTTTCGTGAAACATTAAAAATCCTTTTTTATCAAAAAATAGGATAAAAAAAGACTGTATCAAAAAAAAATCATGTGATATATATTACATATTAATATTAATAGAGATTTTTCATTTTTAAAAAAAAAAAAAAATGAAAATTATAATTAAAGGTGGTATTTGGAAGAATACTGAAGGTAAAATTCTCCAAAATTTCTATTATTTCGTTTGAATTTTACTTATTTTTTCTAAAAATATTGCTCTTGTATTTTTAGATGAAATTTTAAAGGCAGCTGTTAGTAAATATGGGAAAAATCAGTGGGCGCGAATTTCATCTCTATTAGTCAGAAAGTCGCCTAAACAATGTAAAGCAAGGTGGTACGAATGGTTGGATCCAAGCATTAAAAAGGTAAAAAAGAGTATATACATGTTATACTTGCTACAGCAAAGAAATATATTTATTAACCTCATCAAATCTTGCTTTGTATAGACTGAATGGTCAAAGGAAGAAGATGAAAAACTTCTTCATCTTGCCAAGTTAATGCCTACACAATGGCGTACCATCGCGCCAATTGTTGGAAGAACCCCGGCGCAATGTCTTGAAAGATATGCGAAATTACTCGATGAAGCTGAAGCAAAAGAAAGAAAAGGTTCATCAACTGATGCTGGTCCAAGTGCAGATGATGTTAGAAAATTAAGACCAGGTGAAATCGATCCAGATCCAGAAACTAAACCTGCAAGACCAGATCCTATTGATATGGACGAGGATGGTAAACATCTTTTTATTTTAATGAGGTTTTTTTTCAATTCAAAAAACATTTAATATATATATATCTTCTTTTCAATAAACAGAAAAGGAAATGTTATCTGAAGCACGTGCTAGACTTGCGAATACTCAAGGAAAGAAAGCCAAGCGTAAAGCTCGTGAAAAGCAACTTGAAGAGGCAAGACGTTTGGCAACGATGCAAAAAAGACGTGAATTAAAGGCAGCCGGTATTGATTTAAAGATAAAGAAAAAGAAAAAAGGAATGGATTATAATGCTGATATTCCATTTGAAAAAAGGCCAGCAATGGGTTTTTACGATACTACAGAAGAAAGAGATCGTAAGCTAGAATCTGGTCTTATAAATGTTCATCTTCATAAACTTGAGGGAAAAAGAGGTCTTGAGGATCAAGAAGAATCAAACAAGAAAAAGTTCAAGAATCATAAAAATGAAGATGGAAAAGCAATAAGTTTTGTCCCTGCTCGTAATTCACAATTAAACAAATTAAAACAAGCTGAACAAATTAGTAGGAGAAGAAAACTTGTACTTCCATCTCCTCAAGTTGGTGATAATGAATTGGAAGAAGTAATTTCATTATTATTATGAATTCCTAAGCTTTATTTTTTGGAAAAAAAAAAAAACAAATTTAATTTAAATTATACAATAATCTCAATTATTATAGATTGTAAAAATTGGATTTGCTGGTGAAAACACCAAAGCCATTGTGGGAGAAACTGGTAACTCTACTACACTTGCTGGTTATACACCAAGCGCTTCTAGTCTACCATTAAGGACTCCAAGAGCTATTTCTGGAATGACCCAAACTCCTAAAACACCTGCAACTATTTTTTCAAAGACTCCAAGAACTCCTGCTATCAGTATGCTTGATTTAAATACTTAAATAATTATTATTTTTGATTTTATTTATTTTAAATATATTTAAAAAAAATGATTACAATGACTCTAATATATATTTAACTTATAGCTGATCCTGCAGCTTTTAAACGATTAAAGGCTGGATTGTTAGGCTTGCCCGCTCCAAAAAATGATTTTGAAATTGTTTGGCCTAATGCCAAAGATCATGAAAGTTCAGGTGAGGACGATGATAAAATGGATACACTTGACGCCAGTGATAGAGAAAAATTACTTAAAGCTCAACTTGAAGAACAAGGTAATTTATTTATTGAAATATTATATTTTCATATACATTTTTTTCAAAAAATTCAAATATTTATTTTTACACATATATATTTATCCTTGTTTTGCGATAATTAAATAATCAAAAGAGCAAGCTAATATGAGTCAAATAAAGAGAAGGATTAAATTCAACTTGCCAGAGCCTACAGAATCTATCCTTGATCAACTTTTAGTTGGTGAATCTTCTGAAATTGATAAATTGATTTCTCAAGAAATTATACATATAGTGAATAAAGATGGTTTTGGAAATAAACATCTTGAAAAGAACTATCAGGAATCAACGTTATTTACAGATGAAGAATTACAAGAAGTGATGTCGTCTGAGGAGTATAAATCAATATTAGAAGAGGTAAATTTTTTTAATTTCTTAATATTAATACTTGAAGCTTATATTGATTTAATTTGATTATTGTTATACACACATACATATATATTGAAATTAGCTGGATAATATTCCCAAACCTCCAGAAAATCTTGCGGATTTATCGTTTGATTATAAAGAAGAGTATGATAATGATATCAAGACATTGAAAACCCAATTCTTGGTAATATAAAATCTTAAAATTAGATGAACACTCTTTTTTTAAATACTTTATCTCATATCGTAACTTCATTTTACATAATAGGCACAGAAAGATAATATGACTAAAGATGCATCAAAAGCGACGAAAATCGAGAAAAGGCTAGGTATCATTCTGGGTGGATATATCGTAAATATTAAAATTATTTTATAACATAATTAATTATTCATTAAATTTTAATCAATCGAGTATATATATATATTAATATCATTTGTTATTAATTGCAATTATAGGGTCGCTCTCAAAATTTGAAACAGAAAATTTTAGAATTATCCAACGACATTAATGAAGCAATTATTCAACACAATTCGTTTGAATTATTGAGAGGGCAGGAAAAGATTGCTGCTGAACAGAGAGTAAAGGTATCATCATCATCATATTACATGCAGATATACATATTGATGCGTTAATTTACAATATTAATTTTATTATTGACTTTTTCACTTAGGCAATTAAATCAGAAGTTGATAAACTTGCTCGTCGTAAAGCAGAGTTGCAAAGTTTTTATTCTGATTTAACCAATCAAAAAACATTATATTCTAGTAATAATAATAACAATAGTGACTAATTTAACCTCGACTATAAATTTATTCATTATCTTGTTTCTTAAAGCTAAATTATAACAATGTTTGAAATGATAACTTTTCATAGTTTTTTAATTCTTGTTAAATGGATGGTTGGTGATATTTCAAGGTAGCATTTCAGCTAACACCTATTATTTAACATGTATGGCATATTTGTTAGACCACCTACTCTTTTATCAGTTAATTGCAAGGAATTCACAATAATTTGGTGCTTGTCATTTAATAAGTTTATTTATTTAACCGTATCAAATAAATAAAGAAGGCTTCTATGAAATTCCTTTATGACCGATTACTTTGGTCGTTTCTCCTTACTTGACCACTGCGAATTCGCTTTCAAAACAACTTGAGCAGTTTGTTTAACAATCACAGCAGCACTACTAATACCTTTAGACAATACCTTGTTAACACTCCCTAGTTAACCAGCGTTAGTCCTAATCTTTGCTTGCTCACCATGTCAAACTACATTACTCATCGTTCGTCTCTAGAATGACATTTTTTCATGTTGGATATTTTTTTAATGCATAATAATTGAAGTGATTTTATATTACAGGATAAAGTAGCGTTAGGTGTTACGCGATTCAATATTAATATTAACTTTATTTAGTATTAGTATCGTAATTAAAAGTGCTGAATAATAATTAGAATGCTAGATCGCAATGAATTGCTACTAGCTAATTTAATTGTATATATAAAAAGCTTGAATTCTTCATACTTTTAAAATGACTTTGTGATAAAGTTTGATTTTGTAATAAGTTAACTTATTATTATAAATAGGTTAATAAATTAGGTTCGACTAAATAAATTTACCAAAATTATTCGCCAATAAAAACTAATAGCCAATTCATTCTGTTCCAAATATCATAAATTTACACTTATCAATACTCTTTCCCGAATAATAGTTGGTGACAATATAAAGGTATGGATATTCGATTGATCGATGAGATTTTGCTCGAAGGCAGATAAATTTAAAATCCTTTGTGCCAAAATGGTCTGAAAGAAATAACATTAGGTTGTGCTGGTTCGGTTCTAAAATACTGTTTTAAAAACTGGTTGATATTAAAGATAAAATATCTTCATTATTTAATGTTATAAAAAATAAAAATAACCACAATTTTAAAGATCATTTAACTCACAAGTCATTAAATTATTTTTTGAATTAGAGATTCGAATTGTGTTTGTGTTTGGATATTAATATGAATTGATTTAACAGTGCATTTTACAAAATATTTATTGTCTGTTTAACCCAAGTCAAATTTTATTTTTTGCCGTGATTGTATTTCGACGTGCGTTATTTATTTGTATTGGTCGACGAGGCACAATAGTAGACTTAGTAAACAACGTCGTCAAAAGTTGATAAAGTAGACTTAATCCTCTAGTGAAACATTATATATATAAACAATAACTTTTCTTGAATAAAAGAAAATAATAACGAGTTTCGATTCGAGAAATGATCAAATACCCAAAACTAAATACACTGTTATTTTCATTAATTATCTCGACTGGTATTCGTGTAACAGATCAAAAAAAAATGTTATGGTGACATGATGCATCTACGAATAATAAGTTCACATTGCAAGTAAAGGTTCTTTTCTTTTATTATAACTCTCGTATTTCCCTTTTTGGAAATTGATTTTAGTTGCCTTTTTTTTTTATAATTCTTTTGGACTATAGATAATAATAATAAGATGCAGTAAATGTTAAATTGTATCAAAAATCATCGCTTTGACTTGGCTGCGGCAGGAATCTACCTATATAGTTTTCGGGGTCCTGTTCAAAGTTCTAAGCCAAAATGTTATACTAATACCTAAAGGAGTCACATATAATAAATAAGGTATTGGTATTAGTATCAACTTAAAATTTCCGATGTTGTCCTCGTTTCTATTGAAAGACCCCCATATCTAATAAGTTGTTGTTTTATAAACAAATCTGCAAAAAAAAATTTTTTCTACTTTTTAACTCAAAAAAAATTTTTTTTAATAAAAATGTCTACTCCAGGTGTTTTAGTACTTGCACCAGTTACTAGTCAAGAATATAATGAAATATTATCACCAGATGCTTTAGAGTTTGTAGCAAAACTCCATAGAGCTTTTAACCCTACAAGAAAAGCTTTACTTCAACGACGTATTCTTAAACAACAGGAATTAGATCGTGGTATACTTCCAGATTTTTTACCTGAAACTGCTTATATCAGGGAAAATGATAGTTGGCGTGGTGCCTATCCTGCACCTGGTTTGGTTGATAGGCGTGTTGAGATAACTGGCCCTGTTGATAGGAAAATGGTTATCAATGCTTTGAATAGTGGTGCTTATACTTATATGGCAGATTTTGAAGGTGATTTTCTTATTCTAAAAAAAATTTTTTTTTTGATAATTTTAATTCATATTGACAATCTTTATTATTATAATCATTATTTTAATTTTTATCATTAAGATTCCAATGCTCCAACTTGGACCAATAATATTGATGGTCAAGTAAATTTACGTGATGCAATCCGAAAAACAATCACTTATGTTAATCCTGGCAATAATAAGAAATATGAATTAAGAAAAGATGGAAAGATCGCTACATTAATTGTTCGGTAATTTACAATTCAATTCAATTCAATTCAATCCAATCCAATTAATGTGTTAAAAGAAATTATATTTCTAACGTTTTGTTTTCGTGTTTATTTTTTTCATATATGCATATTAAATATTGAATAGTCCTCGTGGTTGGCATTTAGATGAAAAACATGTTTTGGTTGACAATGAACCACTATCAGCATCAATCTTTGATTTTGGTTTATATTTTTTCCATAATGCTAAAAAATCTGTTGAAGTAGGTATTGGACCTTATTTCTATTTACCTAAAATGGAATCACACTTGGAAGCAAGGTTTCTATTATTCATAATTTTTATTTTGATTTCTTTTCTTTAATTAAAAGTAAAACCTTATTTATTTAAAAAAAATTTTTTTCTATGATAAAAGACTTTGGAATGATATATTTAATGTCGCACAAGATCTTATTGGTATTCCTCGAGGAACAATCCGTGCCACTGTATTGATTGAAACAATTCTTGCAGCCTTTGAAATGGATGAAATAATTTATGAATTGAGAGAACATTCTGCTGGACTTAATTGTGGTCGGTGGGATTACATCTTCTCCATGATCAAAAAATTCAGAAACAATCCAAACTTTGTTTTACCAAGTCGTTCAGATGTCACAATGACGGTTCCATTCATGGATTCATACGTACGTCTATTGATCAAGACATGTCACCGTAGAGGTGTACATGCAATGGGTGGCATGGCAGCACAAATCCCTATCAAAAATGATCCAGCAGCCAATAAGATTGCCATGGACAAAGTCAGAGCTGATAAACTTCGCGAAGTTAAGGCAGGACATGATGGAACTTGGGTTGCACATCCTGATCTTGTTAAAATCGCATTAGACGTGTTTGATGAGCATTTGAAAACACCAAATCAAATTTTTATTAGACGTGAAGATGTCAACGTTAATGCATTGGACTTGCTCAACACAAATTTCCCTGGCTCAATCACTGAAGCAAGTATTCGCAACAACATCTCAGTTGGTCTTACATATATTGAATCATGGCTTCGTGGTTTGGGTTGTGTACCTATTCATAATCTTATGGAGGATGCCGCAACCGCTGAAATTTCAAGATCTCAATTATGGCAATGGGCTAGACATCGTGCTAGAACTACTGAGGGTAAAGTTATTACAGGTGAATATCTGCTTAAATTGCTTGATGAAGAAGTTGCAAACTTGGAAAGACAGTTTGGTCCCAAGAAATTTGGTAGTACAAAGTATATTTTGGCAAAGCGATATTTGGCAAATCAGATCACTGGTAAAGATTATTCAGATTTTATCACTACTTTGTTATATGATGAAATTACAACTGTAAATAATAATATCAAAGCTAAACTTTAATGAAGAAAAGAAAATATTATATCATTATATTGTAATATCACATATTTTAGTAGGAAGTAGTTAATACTATTTGTATTTATATCACATATATATGTAATTAAAAAATATTTTAAAAGTGCAGAAAAATGTTCTTGTCTGCAACCAGCAAAAGATGAAATAATAATTATTAAATTTAAAAGAATTATTACTATATGATAATGATTATAAGTATATGTAGAAATTATGTAAAGATATCTATATTTAAACAAATTACGAGTATGTTAATATATGTTCGAATGATTTAATAATCCTTCTTATTAATTCCCGATTAATATTAAATCTCCCTGACCAGGAGAAGCTCCTGTTGGATCTTTTCAATATTGAGAGTGTGTGTTGAAGAAATGTTGACTGGTGTTAATGGTTTGTGCAGGTGTGTAGGTTCTTGAGAAAGATGGTAATGTGAAATGAGAAGTTGAGAGCAATGTTGAATGACTTTATAGTGTAGCCACACTTGAATGAAACACATGATGGGGTTGACACACTCAATAGCACCATATGCTTTGACACTCACTAGTGATCTTGCCTTTGATAATTCTACAGAATCGCATAAGCCTATTATATTGGAAACACTGTCACAAGTTTTTGAGGATCAACAGCCATTAGTAATTCCAATGGCACTATGATGCTTGCTCCCTCATCTTGCCACCACCTCTATGAGCATGACCTTTTATACGAAAATTGATTCCTGTATCAGCTGTACTAATTTACATAACTGGCAGGATAAATGAATGTGATTTTGGATATTCAAGTGAGATTGGGGAAGGCAAGGCTATGGTTGTTACAAAGTCCATCAAGGTGAGACAGTTGATGATGGTGGTGGTGATTTGTGAGGGGGAAGATGATTGAGGTTGTGATTGAGGATGTGGTGATAATGGTGTTGTTTATTTTGAGCTTCTTTCCTGTGATGTTCTTTTTGTATGGGCTGCTGATTATGTCAATCCTTCAACTGAGGCTTGGAATATTCAAAAATTTTCAGATCTTGGCCAGGCTCTTGCGATTCCGACATGCATCAATCATCACCACCATAATTTCTATTTCTATTTTTTTACATCACATAATCCAACAAGACCCATAAAATCACAACCTATACTTACATTTAAATGATGATAATGAATTATCATTGCTAATATGATCAATGCTAATATTACTACTATCATTATTATCATAATGATTATGATTATTACTACTGTTATCATAATCATTGTTGAATTCCTTGTTAATAAAGAATATATGCAGGTTCATTTTGTTTTAATTTCGTTTTTTATCACTAATATTATCACTACTAATGTTAATATCATTAACAACAGCAACAGCATTATTTCCACTGTCATTGATTGTCATTTGAAAATTATCCAAAAAAATTGAACAAGATGCTAAAGAATCAATATGTTCCTTAGTAATTTTGACAATAGGCAAATCATTCATTGCTCTCTTGGTCTGGTGGTCTCACAATTTCTTTACCATATTTGTATTACAAAGATATGAACTTCGCATCACCACCACCACCATTATCATTACAGCTTATCATATTGTCATCATTATCAAATATTGTTGTTGTGGATTTCACCATCTCCTATAATAAATGAAAATGCAACTATGAAAAATCAAACTCACTTTCTAATTCTTCTCGATGATCCTCAGTAATACTATTATTAGTAGTGTTATTATTATTATTGTATTTTTTAAAAAATAATTAAAATGCAAATTTACTTTTGGAAATTGGATGATTTTCAATTGTATTTATATTTATATTTTGTACAGGGCAGCTTTAATTGTTAACTTTTTCTAATTGTTATATTTATGTATATGCTGTATTTATAATATTGATTGGCCAGAAAAAATTTTATTTTCTAATTATCATGTCAATGTTATATCAGTTATATCAATTGCATGAAATGGTTATAATCAAGTACAGAAATCGGAAGTTAAGAAGATAAAGGATATAAATATTAATGGTATGGCTGGTTTTGAATGACATATATGTCATGCGCTTGACAGAGCTATCCAACGATGGATGTCAAATTAGGTTCAGCGAAAAAGCGGTTAAAAACAATATTTGTTGTACAAGTCTTTTTGTTTTGCTGTTTGAGATTTACGAGGTCTGTAAAGAGAAAACTCGCTCTTTTGCAGAAAATACGAGTATTGTTAAGAAGAAAAAATCTAGCAATCAGCGATGCTACTGATTCAAAATATTTGCAATGCGTAACTTACTTTTAGAACCCTGTTGCTTGTTCACGTTGAAATTTTCACCGTCAAGTGATTCTTTGCGTTCGCGACCTAGTACTAGCATTGTTTTTAGGGAGGGGAAAGTGTAAAGTCAAGTGACACATTCAAAAAAAAAATTTTTAAATTGAATGTATGACAAATTGTTGTTATTACGTAATACATAAAAAAAAATTATCAAGATTTCTTATTTTTTTCCCAAAATTCTTCTTTACAATAAATACAATAAATAACAATACAATAACGACAACAATAATATTAAAAAGTAGAAAATGTCAACTTTATCACCAAATACTTCCAATAACATTTATAATAATGATTCAATATTTAACACAAATCCAGCAGATACAGTAGCAGTATCGGATTTTTTGAATAGAGTCAATTTAGGCTCTTCTCACATCAAAGAAATTGCCGGTCTTGGTTCTATTGATTATTTGAAAATTGACGATAATGTAGTTACACCTGGTGCAATTCCAAGTCGTGGGATTATGGATGACTTATGTTATGGTACTGGAACAACATATTTAGCAGGTGCATTATTATAATAAACTATTCTTATTACAACAGCAATTGTTAGAATTGCTACCAGCTTAGGTGCTTATTCATTAATTTTTTTTATTCTAAAATGATTTTTATTTTAAGGTTTATCATTTGGAGGTGTTTGGGGCCTGATGGAAGGTTTTCGTGGAAATATGCCAAATTTTAAATTACGATTAAACACGATACTTAATTCAATCACAAGACGTGGTCCATTCATTGGAAATTCTTGTGGGATACTGGGTAGGTAATTAAAAAAGAGAGAAATATTTTAAATAAAATAGTCGATTTTGTTTACAAATATTTCTAATTATTATTATTATTTTATTATTATTTTTATTCTTATGGATTAATAAAATAAGCAATGGGTTATAATACCATTAATGGTATAATAAGTTCAACGAGAGGCAGGCATGATACTATAAATAATGTTGCTTCAGGTGCTTTAGTAGGTGTAATATTTAAATCCACAGGTAAAGTCCAATCAAGATTTAGCTTTTATTTCTAATTTCTAATTATTTCTAATCTTATTTCTTGTTTATCAATTATTTTTGGATATATATTTATAGCTGGTATAAAAGCAGCAGCAACCGCATCCTTGATATGCGCAGCAACAGCTGGAACATGGACAAGTGCAAAGAGTTATTTTTTTACACAAAAATATTAGTTTTAAAATTGTATCAATATTATTATTATATTTGATCCATCATCACAAATAAACCAATTGAATATATAAATAATCGAAAATTTTCTTTTTGAAATCCAAAACTGAGGTACTGATTTTGATCCATCCCATTGACACTTTGTGTCTGGTTTTGTCGCAGGATATCCCATATAAAGCATATAAGGACAAGTGAATACACAAAATAATATATCAATGATCAAAGAATAGTAATACTAGTCAATTATTTCCATGCAATTTTCTGATAACATTTACATTTATCTTTTTGTTGTTATTTAATCCTTTCCCTGTCGTATCATGTCTATTACAATAGTTGTGGTGATTATGCAATGTGTTCGATGTTAATAATAAGTAATTATAAAAATAAATATAATTTTTAGAAGAAGGTGACCAACTTTGCTTTAACAATTATCCTATCTTGATAAAAATAAGAAGATAAACAGAAAAAAGAATCCAGTGAATCATTAGACATTGATTACTCGAGAAATCTTTGAGTAAACCTAATGAAACATTAATTGATGAAACTGGCGAATCTTCATCTACCCAATTAGTTGTGCGTGGAGATGATTTAGTGTGATGAATATACCAATAAAAGCTAATCGTACATCATCCATTGTTAGATATGAAGACGATGACAATAATTTGGTTGCTTCATATATTGGTTCTAAGATCTCCCAATCTGATGTGGTTAAACGTAAATATTGCAATTCTTTGTAATTATTATCAACACTCAATAATATATCTTATATCAACGAATTTTTCAATCATTAAATAAGTGTGTGTAATTCCGCCTTGTCTCAATGTCTATTTCAATTAATCTATAGTGCAAGACACCTACCTAGTCCCGCAACTTTTTATTGGTCTTGTAGATTCTTTAGCACTCCAAAAATGGAAATGTAACACCAAAAAAACAATCGTAGTTTTAAAGCTAAGACCTTTCTCTACAAGTTTACTATGTCAACCAAAACTGTCGTGTTACACGCGAATTGTAAATATTTGTCTGCCAACTGCAACCATCACTACTCGGTATATGAATTAAAAACTTTATAAAAAGAGCTACTCGAGGAATTTTCTTGTAAAAAATTGACGACTTTTAATAGAGTTTTGCCCCTTTGAAATATTTCTTTAATAACTTAAAGAGTAATTTCCTCTTTATCAAAATACTCCCACCCTTGGTAGGAGTATAAAGAAGAAAAAGTACTATAAGGAGAAAGAAGAGGCCCGAGCATTAGAAGATGAGTGATTGATGATGATGATGATGATGATGATATGGCGTTCGTTTATCCAATACCTATTTTATAGTAAGTGATAGCGCGTAAATCTTGTCGATTATAAATACTTACCAGTCATTGCATATTTATTTATAAAGAAAGCTTTGTTCTTTATCATCTCTAAAATATCATTTATCGGACGTAACATGATTCCTTTTTATTTTCCATTTATAATGACGCGTAAAACACTTCTTTATAAATGATGGCATTTTCGATTGATATTAGTTTCTAACAAATAACAATTTTGTTTCAAAAGGAGAATTAATTGCCTTCATAGATTTTCAGAAATACAAAAATAATCCGTTAAAGAATTTACGACATGATTGTTGTACATAGAATTTTGTAAATAGTCTTAATATATAGCCGTTTTTATCAGATTAAAATGTTGGGATAAAGAAAGAGATGAATCAGAAAATTTATTCAAAAACGGAATGGCAATGGTTTTACGTTGAAAAGAAAAAATAAATTTATCACATGACTATCAGTCATTCAAGGCCATTATTACTAAATCAGGTTTTTACACTTTAACATTATTACTATGTATGAATTGATAAATTCTTTTTCATTAAAAAAATATTATATACAATTACTATCGTAAGAGAAAAAGAAAATATTAAATTTTTATGATGGAGTGATATCATAAAACAATGCACATTCAGTAGTTCCACCTTCCCATCCTCTATTTCCTGAAGTTGTGATCATATAACGACACGTTTGATCAACCACTATATAAATAAAAGGTTTTAAGAAATGTAATAATAATACGCAAAAAAAACGAGTCTACCTTTTTATATACATAAAATTTTTTCACTTTTGTGATAAAGGAAGGATACAAATTTGGGAAATTGAGCCACCGTGATGTCCTGGTATAATTAAAAATGGTACAGCACTTTTAGATATTTCATATTCATCTGGAAAAACATTCCATAATCTAATATTATCAGTAGAAGCACTATATAAAAATAGGTAAATAATGCGGAATTCAAAAGTTTATATAATTATAAAAATAATTTATAAAAAAAAAATTAATTAATAAAACATGCTAACCATACTATATGTTTCCCATTAGGCATACTTAATACATAAGACACAGGACCGGAATTACTTGGCATCTTTAATGATCTTATAAATTTTCCTGAAAGAAAATCCCACTCATCCACTTTATTTAAAATATAACAATAATGATATTCAACTTATTAGGTTTAATTATTAATTATATAATTAATGATTTTAAATAATACTTTACCAGTACCATTACGTCTTCCACAATATATTTTGGAACCGTCAGCGCTCCAACATGCCTATATTAATAACTTATTAATAATATATTTTTCATAAATTATATATTATATAAATAGGTATTTTCTAAATACTGCTTACAGATAAACACCATGGAGGCGTTTTTTCAGGTGGAGGCATTTTTCTAGGTATTAAATTATTTGCTCTCCTATCCCAAACAAAACAGTTACCATCAATACTTGTAGTTAGCAAAATATCATTAGAATTAGTTAATGTATCTTCTGGACCGTCATATGGAGTTGGTGAATTTTGTGGTGATGATAGTTGAGAAGATGATGGAATTATTGGACGAAATGAAATAGAACTTATTTGTGAACTATGACCTGAAAATTCACGTTCCACTTGACCGGTATTAAGATCCCAATACTATTTATTATAAATAAATCATTATTATTAAATGTTATTTAAAAATAATAATCTTTTCAAAAAGTACATACTAATACAGTTTTGTCCCATGAACCACTAACACATCCAGTTTCTTCTTGGGTTATTTTCAGTACTGATACAGGTGCTTTATGATGTCTTAAAACATGATGACATCTACCTTCTTCATGCCTAACAGTGTATAAATTTATAGAGCCACTCTAAAAAATGTTCCAAATAATATTGCCGATTTACTAATTTATTATTAATTATATTATGATCACATTTATGTGTGACTATAGGGAAGAATGTAAATACCTCTAATCCGCTTAACAACCAAATTGCTTCTGATTGTACTGCTATGCTGTAAACTGATGATAATTTTATTTCAGATGAAGACGGTTCTGATATATTTTGTGATGTACCTTCTTCACCATTACCATTAACCTTGTCTATATATTATATATTATTATTAATTTAAAATTAGATATTTTTTAAAAATAAATAATTCATTTATCTGAATAAATAAAATTGACCTGATTTAGGAGTTGGAGGTGGTTGCTCTTCATTTTCCCAATATGACACAATAACCCCTGCCTATGAATTAAAAAAATTTCATTTTGGAAAAAAATGTTTTATATTTTATTATTATATATTGGATAAATTTAATACCTATCGCACCTTTTGGACAGACTCGACTTGAGTATGTTTTTGATTTTGTGTTAATAATGTTTTACCACTCATTGAGGCAAAAAAATCATATTTCCTTATGAACCCATCATCGCCTCCAGTAAAAACCCAACGCATATTTTTTGTAACATCAAGAGCATGAACATGACATGCGTGTATTGCAGCCACCTAAATAATAAGGTAATGTTAAAGTTACTCGTGGAACTTATACAATTATTATTTATTACATTGTTCTTACTTACATAAGGTACTATTTCATAACTTTTACAAGTGTCGGCAAAAGGTTGAAGTTTAGAAATCGAAGTGGTTGTGTTGTTGTTGGTATGTTCATTGATGGTAAAAGAGGATGAAGAGGGTCCGGCTTCATCAATAACAGGTTCTTCTACATAACTTTTAAAGTTAACAAATTTTAACTTGAATTTTTTCAGAAACTAAACCAACAAGCTACCGTCTGAAATAGGCGAGCGTTCATGTACTTCTCCTTCGTTTTCTGAACTTTGTTGTGATTCTCTAGAAGATATTTCATCTTCACTATAACCATCCATTTTTTCTTATAAGAACGACGCGCAAAGACTATTGTGTGTTATTATTGATTGATGTAAATAAATATATTCTAAACTTTGTGCAGATCATCAATCAAAATTTTTTGATAAAATAGTTGAAACAAATTTGTAGAATGGCAACTGTTTTCAAGGCAGCCAAAGCTCAAGTTGATACAAAAACAAATAATGATAATAATAATAAAGAAGAGTCTAAGGGAAAAAAACCTATTAAGAATAAACAAAGAGTCCTTGCATTATCTACCAGAGGAATAAATTTTCGGTAATGCGATTATAAATTTTTTTTTTAAACATTGTAATAATATCATTAAAAACTTTTTTTTTTTTGCTTTTATAGACAAAGACATCTTTTGAATGACCTTGAGACCCTTTTCCCTCATTTTAAAAAAGGTAATGTAAAATTAAAATATCGAATCATAAATCATATAAACAAATCATACAAATCAAAATTGATCTAATAAAATAAATTTAGACTCAAAACTTGATCAGAAATACAATCTTTCAGTTTTAAACGAACTTGCTGAATTAAACAATTGTAATAATTGTGTTTTTTTTGAGGCACGTAAAAAACAAGATTTGTATATGTGGACCAGTAAGGCACCTAATGGTCCTAGCATCAAATTTCATGTACAAAATAGTAGGTTTTTTTTTAAATATTATTATTATCATTTAATTAAATTAAATGAATGTCTTGGAAAAAAAGACTGATGTATATAATTGATTAATAAGTTCATACAGTCGATGAGCTTAAAATGACAGGAAATTGTCTTAAAGGATCTCGACCAATCCTCTCATTTGATAAAAAATTCGATTCAGAACCTCATTGGATTTTAATAAAAGAAGTTTTCACACATGTAAGATAACATCTTTTGTTGATTGGATAGATATAACTATTTTTTTATAATAAAAACTTTTTAACCTTTAGATTTTTGGAGTACCAAAAGGTACTAGACGTTCAAAACCATTTATAGATCATGTAATTTCATTCACAATAGCGGATAATCGAATTTGGTTTCGTAATTTTCAGGTATTAATTTATATGAGTGTGCATATACATGCATATGTTTGCGTGACAATTATTTTGTTTTAACAAATACTTTTATTCCTTGGTAACAATAGATCACCGAGAAAGATCCTACGCATCCTAACAAAAAACCTAATGAAAAAGACATTTCTTTGTTGGAAATAGGGCCAAGATTTGTTATGAATCTTATTAGAATTTTTGAAGGAAGCTTTAATGGAGCAACCTTGTTTTCAAACCCTGAATTTGTTTCTCCTAATGCAGTAATGATATTATTATTTATTCTTCTTCTTTATTCATTATTATATTTATTATATTCATTTTTTTAAAAAAAATTATTAGATTCGCCGGAGCCTTAGAATGGAAAAAGCGAATAAATATCAAAAACGATTACTTGCTAAAAATGAAAGAAGATACAAAATTGACAATAGTGATTTACCTGAAAACCCTATGGACGATGATTAATCATCTTAAAAAAGGGGATTTGAATATATTTCTTTCTTTTTGCATGCACTATATAAACTATTAATAATAATATTATCCTTTTTAAAGTTACAGAAAAATTAAATAATTAATAAAAATTAAATTTACATTAAAGTCTTTAATAATTAAACAATGATTTTATTAAGGGTTAAATGATATGGTGTGATTTTTAATTAGTCTAAGATAGTTTTACAATAAATATTAAATAAAATTTGTAACTGCAGCCCTGCTGCATCAGTTCTAAAAGATGATTTGTTTTTATGACATTCCGGACCTGTTCTCCATTCTCTTCCATCAATAATACCAGCATCCCATATATGAGCACCAATATTTTTTGCTAGAGTGATTGTGACATTTCTGACTTGTTGAATAAGAGTCCTTGTAGTGGTTTTGGGGTGTGGTGTGAGTGTGTAAGGTTCAGGGGTACGAATTATTATGAGGGAAACAGGATAAATTTTACGAAGCTTATTGAAAAATAGAGTCAACACCTGTTCAAATCTGGATATTGAATAGTCTGCTGGTATATCATTTGACACAGAAACCAATACAACGTTTTCTTTAGGTATTTGATCTTTCATGAAGTTTTTTGATGATAAACTTAACCATTCCAAATTTTGTATTATTTTCATTGGTTGAAAATAGATTGAACCATCAAATGCTGTTGATTTAAGATGTGCAAAGGGTAATCTTGGTAAAAGTGTAAACGGTGGAACTTTGCAGTCACACACAGGTAGTTTATGGTATCTCGCCACACTACACCACCGCTCACCAGCATGGCCTACTGATGTGCCATATAAATTACTGATGAAATTTATAAATTAGAGGTTGACATATATGAATAAGTAAATTTATTTTAAAAAAAATTTTTTATATACAAACCTCCAAAGTATTTCATCGCCATATGCATGAATTGTATGATTTCTCATACAGATTAATTGTTCCAATGGAGAGACATATTTCATTTTACATTTTGTGGGAACATATAGAATATCATCATCAACCTCCATCATTGATTCGTAATGAGCATATGGATGAAAGGAATTATAATATTCTTCAAACATCCAAATTCCAGAAAAATCAGAATTAGCATTACAAGATGGTAAAGTATTATTTGGAAGAAAAGATCTATTCTTCAATGTGACTATTAACCTATTTTCAGATTGAAGGGAAATATTATAATTTTTAAAATAATCGATTTCCAGATCAACATTGATTAAATAATTTCCAGGATATTTGATATAAGTTAATCCTCTGAAAATATTTGAATGTTTTTTAGTTTTTATCATTGAAATAGGTTGAATAATTTGATTACTGACTATTCTTGCAAATATGTTATAAGGAGTGAACTTTTTAATTAATATTGATTTTTTAAGAATACTTTTTGGTAACTTTTATTCCCCCCCACAAAAAAAATAAATAAAATATTATATAAATATTAGGAGAAAAATTATATGAATTATTATTTAATGTTAATATATATATACTCACTGCTACTATAATACAAATAGGAGTTCCTTTATGTATGTTTTCAATAACTAAAAATTTCATTTAAAAAAGAAAAGTCTTTAATTATTATTATTATAAATATAAAGTTTTAAACAGTTTGATCAAGCTTGAAATCTTTACCTATTTCTCTACTATCTGTTACAAAATCATTTTTATATGCATATGAAATAAATGGTTCTGTTTTATTCCATAATTCGTTTCTAGAAAATTTTTTGTCAGATTTAATACATTATTAGTTAACAATCCAAAAAAGAAATGATTGATAGCATACAATTTTATAAGATCAAAAGAACAAGGATCTTTGTAAAGTTTTTTTTTCTTTTTAGCGTTGGTGTTTGTAGTTGTGGGGGGAAATTTAGTTAAACTCTTGTAGCCCCGTTCTATTAAAGAAAACTCGAATTGATAAAGAAGGAGGGAAAGTATAGAGATCGAAATTATAATAGATAAAGTGAATAAACGTTTTCTGATTGATGGTGGTAATAATAAATTTTTATAGTTATAAAGTTTGTGTGTTGAATTAGGAGGATGATGATGTTTTGTGATGGTCATATTATTAAATCTTTTGAAAAGTTAATTTTTAAAAAAATGTTTATGGTTAAATTAATATTAGAATCGTGATCTTTTCTATTATTAGACTCAATAAATATTTATATTATTACATTGTATTATCTTGTGAATGCGAAATTGGAAATATTAATTTCGTGGTCCGTCGATCAACGATAGAAACTCACTATAGTAGTAAACCTTATTACACCAATCAGGAAGATCCAAATCCTCCTTATAGCTAATTGTGGCTTCATAGAAAGTCATCATTACTGCTGCTGCCACCAGCTAGACATATCCTGCCACAGTTAAAATGGCAGCAGAGAGGTCAGTAAGTCCCCCTTATAAATGGATCAGGTCTCTCTCCATAAGTGTTTGTGTGCAAGCAAAAAATGTCAGTATAACGAGATTGTCATTATTATTTTTATTAAAAAAATATTAATCAAAACTACTTCATCGTTGTTTAATTAGCCATATTAGTCAATGTTTATAGATTGTAACCTATTGATTATTATTTAATCCATCAGGAAATTAAAACTTACGCCAGATCCAAAGCTGGAAGACACAATCCCGTAGAATTAACAAATAGCAAAATAATTAGTGTCATGTTGAGTGGATAACCCATCATGTATTTCATTCAAGTATAAAGCCTCAGGATTGCTGTTGTTATTGCTGGTGCATCCAGACCGCTTCCAATTTCTCATTCTACTTTACCACCCTTCTCAGGAACCTATACAACTAAACAAACCACCAACACCAGTTAATATATACTGATCAACACTTATTAAACATTCGAAAAGATCCAATAAAAGTCTCTCCTGGTCAGGAAGATTAGCAAAATAATTGGACATTCATTATATGATGTTCCACTTGTCAATTTATGGTTATAAATAATTTATTAATATTTTCTAAATGATAAATTGAAAAACTATAATAACAATCTGTTACTATATATTATATTATAATAATCAATAAACTCAACTCTAATTAGAAAAGATATATATAAAGAAAAGATATATATAAAGAAAATCTAAAATGAAAATCTAAAAATTAAAAACTTTCATCCCATTCGATATGAAACATCCTGATTGAAAATACTTCTCTGAGAATTTTGTTCTATACGTTCATCCTTGAGAATTCTACAAATAAATAATTTAAAATCAAGAACGTATTTGATTATTTAATTAATAGAAAACATTTTAAATTTACCTATTGTCTATTCTTGCATCATCTCCTTCAATTCCAATACCAATCTGAGGTGTTTTGGCTTCAAGTACATAATGGTTATCACAATGAGGACAATATTCGTCTACTTCATCAAAATCTTCCATATTTTTTCTAAATATCTTTTTACACTTTTTACAAGCGAATACCATTTCAGCTGCTTTGCGAATCGGATGATCTTCCATTTCTGAATGACACTCTGCACAATCATACCATTTTTTACAACATGGTGCCCTGATAGAAACCTTTTAAAATAATTTAGTTAGTTGAGTATTTGTAAAAATTTGTATTTATAATATGTTATTATAATAATACCTGTGCATTTAATATATGTTTACACATTTTTGAGAGAAGTTTTTTTTTTTAAAAAAAAAATAATAATGTTCTATATAATTTCGTGTTACATTTTAAAGAAAATTCTTACCACACATACTAATAGTAATAGTCCTAAATTTGGGTATATGTTGTATGTGAAATATTATGGAGTGGGTGAAATTCTGATTGGCTAATTTGAATTTCATATATGTAAATTTGAATTTCACATATTAATATTAATTTCATTTTCACGTACAACATATGTATATACTTTGCAATAATTTTTGTGTTACAATATTTTGAATCTCACTACCAAATTTGATAATGATTTTCTTTTAATGTAATATGTATGTTAAACTTTTTTGTTGTAAAGAACTTTTATTTATTAATAAAAAAAAGGAAATAAATAAGTCAAATAAATCAAATGTATCTTGTAGAAAATATTCTATGAAAAAAAAGTTGTTACACGAAATTTACTTAGTCTCAATTTCTTAAGTGTACAGTCAACCCTCCATAAGTGCACCCCCCTTGGGACCAGGCAAGACCGTGCACTTATGGAGAAGTGCACTTATAGAACAAAAGTATTTTATTGGTTGCACGTGACACTAATAAAAAATTAAAAAAATTTTTTATTTATAAAATTATTTATTGATTGATAAAATCATATATTTTAGTTTGTTTCATTCTATTTATTTTTTTTAGATTAATAAATTTATCAAGAGCATTAGCCATTTTTAATTGTTCACTAGAATTTTCTTCTTGTAGTAGAAATGCATAAACAGTTTTTAAACTTTTTGAAGCTTCGCTGGCACTTATTACCACTGGTTCAATACTATCATCTTTATCATCTTCAATATCCTCAATAGGCACTTCTAGCTGTTTTTTAAATATTTCTACAAGACCCTCAATAATTTTATCATCATTATCAGGAACCTCATAAACCATTCCTTCTTCTGGATTATTTAAAAATTCATCAATTTGCATAGCATTAGATAGGTTAAGTGCTCCAATTGAATCCGAAAGTTCTTCTAATGTAGGAATATTAGTTTCTCCAACATTGCTAGCAGTATCAATGGCAGCTGGGAGGATTTTGGTATGTTGCCAGCAGTTACGAATGGTTTCAGGTGTGATTTCTTCCCAACTTTTAATAATGTATTGTATTGCCTGCAATACATCCATTTTTAAATCTTTTATATCATTTCCATCTTCAACTTGATTTAGAATCCATTTAATATGTAAATGACGATAATGTTTTTTAAAAGACATAATAATTCCTGCATCCATTGGC